TAATATTTTAAATTTTATTAGATTTCAGAGCCAGGTCGGAAATGATCTACAGTCCGGATCCGGAAATTTTGGACTACCTGTTATTACCGTTACGTTATAATGACTACTTTCAGATGCGATGATGTCATTATGATCTTTTGCTCGTTTGTAATGATGATCTAAATGCCATACTAAGAAAAGTTAATAAAATAATACTGTGACAAATATAAAGGATTCGCGGAAGGATATACAAAGATAAAACAATTTACATATTTTCCAAAGTTTACACGATGTGTTCAAAGGAAGAATTACCTAAAAGCCTTTCTGATGTTTCGGATATTCCGAAGCAAGAGATGCAAGAACAACCTGGTTTGTACATTATCTAATCGTTTAAGTAGTTTGTTTTTTTTCAGAATTTTCAAACACGTTAAGAAAACATCATCTAATATAAAAATTTCAAAAAGGCGTGCATCATGAAATGAAACCTCAACCTCTCGTTCATCATTTACCTACCGACGGCGAGCATCTCGAAGAATATCATGCCAGTGGAAAATTAAAATCTAAAATTGCTCTTATTACCGGAGGTGATTCTGGTATTGGTCGATCGGTTGCTGCCTTATTCTCACTCGAAGGTTGTGAAGGAATAGCAATCGTACATTTACCACGTGAAGAAAAAGACGCACAAGAAACTAAACGAAGAATTGAGAAACAATCAAACACGCACGTGGAATTGATTTGTAAGGATATTGGATGTGAAAAAAACGCGATTGAAATCATTGATACTGTGGTTAAGAAATGGGGCAGAATTGATGTGTTAGTGAATAATGCTTCGGAACAACATTTGAGTGGGAGTATTGAAGATCTTAGTGCAGAGCAACTCGAAAGAACTTTTAGGTTTGTGATTTTTTTTTTTTTTGAAGTTTTGATTTACATTAATAATATATATTTCAATACTTCAAAGGTCAAATCTTTATGGAATGATTTTTCTTTCTAAGCACGCAATTAAGCACATGAAGAAAGGAAGGTATATATTGACAAGTTAAAAAGAAATTACACGCATAAATTCTAAATTACTAATTTATTATTAGCACCATTATCAATACAACTTCAGTGACTGCTTATAAAGGTCATCAACTGTTGCTTGATTATTCCATCACGAAGGTATCTTATCGACAATTTATTCTCAATTACGATTTATATATCTAACATTTTCTGTTATCATTTATATAGGCTGGTATCGTTGGCTTTACAAGGTATTATTCTTCACGCAATGTCAATTTCTTCTTTCTGCAATACCTAATATTTTGTTGACAATAATAATAGATCACTTAGTCTTCAGTTGATTAGTAAAGGAATTCGCGTTAATGCAGTCGCTCCAGATATTTCACAATCTATTGTTTCTTTCCGTTTATTTGTTGCAATACCGCATTCGTTACATTAATACTGTATATATTACGTGTTACTTATAGGACCGATTTGGACACCTCTGATCAAAGCAAGTTTCCCTCCTGAAATGATAGATGAGTTTGGAAAAGAAGTACCTTTTGGTCGAGCAGGTCAACCTTCAGGTACGAGATTGTTTTATAAATCTGATTATATTCTTGTGAATTTGGTGTATATGTGTAAAAAAAAATCTTTTTTTTTTTTTTACAGAAGTAGCACCTTGTTACGTTTTTCTCGCTGGTAACGATTCTAGTTATATGACCGGCCAGGTAAATTAGTTAGTTACATACGGGGCTGATATTTTTAATTTGTGAAATAAACTAAAATTAACGTGGTCTTTTTCTTTTAATACATAGGTTCTTCATCCTAATGGAGGTAAAAGCTTAAATTATTGTTATCGCATTTTATTTATTTATGCTTTATACTTGATACTTAAGCGTCATTTATTGTTTTCCTCTCTCAGGAACTATTGTTAACGGATAAATATGGTTCAGTAGCTTTTTTTAAAAAATAAAATAAACCCGTTTTAATTATTCAATAGGAAAATATATGAACTAGTTTGAATAAATAAATTGTCATATTGCTTGCTATAAAAGAATTTTAATATTATTCATGCTCAAATGCTTTTAAATACTATTTATTTATACCGATCCTTTGGAGTACTGTAATTTGTAATGTAAAAATATTATAGTTTATTGGTAAAAGCCAAATCATAATTATTATCAGGAGCGAAGCAGAGGATCTGAATGTTGTGTAAAAGTCTCAACTTTACTACTAATCGAAGTCAGTCACGTCTCGTGAAAAATGATCTAAACAATTTTATTTTTATTTTTACGTTGTTCGTTATTCACTAAGGGAAAATGAAATAAATCAGAATGTACAGTACAAAAATATTTTCTAAGATAGCATTCAAGCGTTTCATTTATCCTCCGGGAATTCTTAAACTTTATAAATTATCCCAAGATATACATTGTTCGGTTTCATTAAAATTTTTAATTAGTACCACTTTTTAAGGGATTGATAGTATATACAGTAAATGATACTTGTATCGGAAAAAGAAAAATATGCGCGATTTACTAAAAGTTTTGCGAAATTAGAGACATAAAACTCGTGTAACATAGGCGTTCGGTCGACACATGCTTTGTTGTTTATACTTCAGCCTATTTCGACACTTACGCATACACTGCCCTAACGTTTATAAGCAGATGTTTGCCTAATTGGCTAATGCAAATCTATTAAAATCGGCGCAAGCATCGTTTCTAGTTTCAATAGATGTTAAAAAGTTAACTTCGAAAATAAAATCTAATAAGATTTATGAGTACAGTTTGCCTTCCATACAGTCGCTCTCTATATAGTCACACCCACTTTATAAGCACAGAATTTCTTGGAACCGAGGGCGTGACTGTAGAGAGGTTTGACTGTAACTACTTTTCATTGACAAACGAACTTCATTTTTAAATGGCAAATTCGGAGTGATTTAGGTTAATTTCACGCGTAATCCAGCCAATCGAATTGCTTCCTATGACGATAAAGTACTATCTTGGAAAATTACAACCCGTATTTCAATAGAATCACCGATCCTGTCATATAACACAAGCAGCACACATTGAATAAAGATGTATTACGACATATGTTATCATCATTATGTGATCAATTTTTCGCATAGTGAAATTTTAATAGACTTTCTTTTTATCATAAAAGAAAAACTAACTATATAAAGTGTGCATAATAATTGAGAGACAAAATATATAAGAATTATTATATAACAATACCGGGCCCATATACTAGTCGTACAACCACGTTGCGCATGTTTAGTGCAACTATCGAACTATTCTGTAAAAAGATCCTTTAGTTTGTTTTATTCGTCATCATGCGTGATAATTTGGCCACTTTATCGAAGTCGATACAAGAACTCACTACTATTATGCAGCGAGTATATCCAAACGAAATCGATGCCTTCCCAGGTAGCGCAAAGTCCAAATGTGTATTTATCTCGTTTTTATATTTTCTTAGAATTTTAGATCCTATATAATCTAAGCTTTCAAATCGAATGAACTCTTTTTTAGTTACGTCTTTGAGAATATCAAAATTTGTACAAATTCTCTCCGGAGTCCCTTCCTTACAATTACTAAACCCTATTTTTATGTATGGCTCAAGAACGCAGATATTTTCAAAAACTATAGATTCAATCAAATCAATAAATTTGTTTAAAAACTTTGCACCTTCCTTGTGGGCCAGGTCATAGTCGAAATAGTTTACGATCGACGGTATTTGAAAATAATCAAGTTCTGCGTTTAATTCTGATTCGGTAACCAAGGGATTATTTTCATAACTTTTAAGAAAATTTGATTTAGAATAGAGAAAGAAAAAAATTATTCGATATCATAAAGACAGATTAAAATTAAACTAGATTCTTACTGAGTTTTTCCAGTTCGGTAAAATGTCATTATATAACGAAACGCCTCCCCATTACGATCAAAAAAATATTCGTTTTTGTTAGTTGGATGCAATAATGCTTCATTTCGTGAGCTGAACATTACTCCAAGTAAAGTTTCTGGATATTTTATCAGCGTCGAGCGATATGTTTCGTACTAAATTGTGTGAATGATTTATTAATCACGAACAAAAAAAATTCAGAAATGCGTATAGATGTATAGATTCCTTTTTACCTTTACTCCACCAACATTAAGAATAACCCTTTGTTCACCATCTTCGGCCATGTTACAAAAATATTACTTAGTAGAATAATTGCTATTGAGTATTCACTCTTCAAGAGCAAAAAAAAAATTCCTTATTTATTGAAATAATTTATTCAATATAATTGACTCGGTACAAAAAATACCTAATATAAGAAACTCTCAAATATAATAAAGTAGTTCAAAAAAAAATTGATTTAATTTCTAATTAAAAATACCCAAGGTAAAAAGTAACCAATAAGTTATAAAAAAAAAAAAAAAAAAACTCAATTACTCAAAATTTATTTAGCCTTCAATTATTTAAAACAAATGTAAAAAGAATGCTATTATTTTATATACGAACCATTTAACTATAATTTTTTTAGACTTTGTGACTGACTAAAGATACCTCATGACTTATAAATCTAATTGCATAATTTCATATTATTTAGTTCTCTCGATGAGGAATCGATGATATCCAAATATTACGATTTGACTTTGTTTTTAAAGTTGACATCCGATATTTGAATATGATATAAATAGATTAGATTCCACTGTATTCCTCTAAGCAAGAGGAATTGAATGCATATAGATCATTCGATTCCGATTACTATATAATCACACCATCGGGACCTGCAAAAAAGCCTTCTTAGATAGAAAATGTACTTAGAATATGCTTATAAAACTTCTTATATATTTAATAGTAGTTGGCTCAACAAATGGCGTGCTTATAAACATGATGCGCTTTTAAGTCAAAGAATAAATTTTCGTTAGAGTAAAATAAAAATGAAAAAAAGTCAAGTTCAATTATGATAACGATACCGATATAACTGGTATATACTAGAGTTGCAGGTGAAACTGGTGCACCGATAGTGAAACTAGAGTTATAGATGAAACTAATCTTCAACGGTGCACTGATGGTGTGCCAGTTTTCTGGTGAAATTAATTAGTTTCACCAGCAACTCTAGTATATACCAGGAAAAAATCGAATTTTATTAATAAAATTTATGCTTGATTAAATATTAAGTAGTGATATATAAAATCAAAAAAAAAGATAAATCAATTATTTTAATATTATTCTATGACGACTGCCAGCGGTTTTGGTCATTTTCTTGAATACTGGTTTTCTCGACACCATGTTCTAAACTCAACATTCTTTGGGTCTTTATGCTTTTCTTTATTCTCATTTATTACTGCTAAAACTCTCTTTGAGGCTTGCTTATAGCTGTTTAAAGTCATTGCATGAAAAATCAATTGACTATTAAAAATTTTAATATATTAGTAACTATACCTGAAACATTCACAAAAGATCTAACCTATTTAAAAACATGCTACAGGTTTCAAAGGATCTTGGCAATTCTACACTACCAACTTCTACCATTACATAAACACCGGGTACAATTAGAGTTATAAAATACCCCATCTACTTTGTTACTGTTTGATGATCATAAATTAAACTGCTTGTTAAACTTTTTTTATTCTTTTTGGAAATAACCAGTTTATTGATAGATTGCCATGCAAATATAGTAGAATTGACACAGGTTTTTTGTAGAATATCATCAATAGAATCTTTATGAAAATTTCTAATCAAATGAAATTAATTAAGTTCTTTTCTATATTATTTTTGCCTTTGCCTGTTACTTCACCATATATCATCTCATGAATGAACTTTTTTAATTTATATTAAGAAAATTTGTTTTAAGATCTTAGTTTACATTTTTATATAAAAAATTTTTATATAATACCATTGTTAAGAATATTTCCAATCATGTTTGGCTGCTTTGCACAAGTAGAATAATTATTGCTGAGCTTCCAAATCTTAGCACTACTACTTGATGTATTAGGCCATGTCATGGAATGAATAGATATATTGTAAAAGAAAATATGTAATATGGAACTAATAATGTTTGCTACTAATATGCCTTGTCTAGTTTTTTCTTTTGGCAAATAGATTGGAATATTATTTACTCTACAAAACAATTAAAACATCTTAGCATGTATTATAAATATTTTTATAAAAAATCATATTTAATATTATATTTACAATAGTTGAAATAATAATTGTATTTTTAGAAAAAGTTCATGTTTTTTTGTTATATCAAATTCTTTTGAATATGATTCTATTATTAATTTTTGAAGCTTGTTAAGCCTATCTTTATTAAGAGCAGTTTATAATAAAATTAACATGGAGGTAAAATCTTACTATGGCAAGTTATATAAGTATTCAATAAACAACTAAGTGAGCTAATACTTGTAGTTTTAGATATTAAAAGAAATAGCCTTTTAAAAAATTTTAATATTTTAAATTATAATATTATAAAGCCTAATAAAGTAGAGGCAAGACTACCAAATTTATAAAAAAAAAAAAAATTATTTATTTATTTTTTTAATTATATATTTATAGATAGAGTAAATTTTAATAGTTATACTTTAGACTTTTAATAACTCTTAATGGATTCTGTTTTCTAGTTATAAATATAGTTAATTATATATAAAAAATAATAATAAAGATAGTTATGAGTGATAATTAGTATAACAAGAGATTATGCAATAAAATTATAAAAGCAATTTTCAATACTATTGGGATTTGTTTTTAAAATTTTAGATATTGAGATTTTAACTATTGATAAACCCAAAATTCTATTAGAAAATCTGCAATTAGTGATGATTATTATTAATTCTGCCTATATTTGATTTAATAGGCTATTACACACTTTAGTAAGATATAATTGTTCCAGAACTAGAATATATTTTAACTTTTAAACTTACTTAAGCTTTTGAACTTATCTCAAACAGTAATATATAATATATAATCTTAAAATTTAAAAAGTATTAACAAGCTTTAATATGATCTTTGAATAATATTTTCAATCAAACAAAACTTAATTATTTTGCCAAATCTAAATCTGAAAAAGAATATATTAATTTTGCCAATTATAAAAATTTTTGAAATTTTTAATACCTCTAAAAATATTTAATAAAATCTGTAATTGTATATAGTTTAGACAAAATCTGATATTGATTTAGTAATAATAATTATTTCTGAATATAATAATATTATTTATTATATAATTTACTATTCTTTTTTTAAAAGAATTAAACTTTATTAATTATAAACTTTTGTATTACTATTGTTTTTTACTATTATATAAACAAAATAGATCAATATTTAATATTTCCAAACCTGTTTCATTACTAGTAGTAAATCTTTATTTAGAAACTTATAGAAAGATTATGTTTGTTAGTCAGCAGACTTAAAATATAAAAAAAATAAAGTTCTAAATAAATAATAATAAATATATCTTTTAAATAAAAGTTTTTAACATATAAATTATACAAAAATTCTGGCTTGAACTAGCTATTTAATAAAATTAATTATATATTAGAATATTTAGTTAATATAATTAAACTAATCAATAAAATTATTAAACTAATTATGTAGAATCAATTACAATTACTTGTAACTAGTAATTGAATTTAAAATTTTTACAAAAAATAGCAAGTTTAACAAATTTTAACTACTAAAATAGTAAGTTTAACAAATCTTAACTACTAAAATAGTAAAAAATATTATTAATATTAAATTTGAGATATATTTAAACATATACTAATACTATTAATTTTTTTTTTGATATTAAGGTGATCTCTTTGTCAATAGTGATTTATTATCATAAGTGTTATTTTGGTTACAACGAGAGTATATATAGCTACACATGCACTTTTGGTATCTAATTTAAATAGTTCACCCAAAGCAATAGTGCAATACTAAGAGTTTTACACTATTTGCCATATCTGTACATACTATGTGAGATATCTATTTAAACTCTCTAATTATATCCTTACTTCTACCAAGTAAAACTCATGATCCAGATGTAACATTACTACATGTACCAAGCATATAAACCTATATAACACTACTAAATTAACAACCAGGCTTAGAACAAAACTATTTGTTCTTATTTATTCTCAAGATAAACTTGCTAGAGTACATTCTTACAATATATTCATCTAGACTTCAGTAACATATACCATAGCTTAACCTATACACTTGGGGTCAAAGCTAATCATTGAACTTCTACTATTATCTACTTCTATCCTTTTAAAGTTTACAAATTTCTATACCATATTCTATCACTTTTCACACTTTACTCTTTTTGGTATTGTTGTACTTTCAATTCATAGCTTAGAAGGATTAGTCTGTTCAGACCCAAGTTTTTAGATTCAAGTTCTTAATCTTTAGTCCACAATTTCATAATATATGACTTTTTCTTTTAGATGATCTAGCAGCCTAGTTGGTAGATCTCTTTTGTCAAAAGATCTTTGTTGCACAAATTCTCTAATTTTTGGGGTTTAGTCAGATTTGTCCTGTAGTATCAGGTAGCACTTGGTTAGATCAATCTGCTATTTCCTTAATCAGGATTTGCCAAGCTAGTTTTGGTTTTCTTAGGCTACTATGTGTAGGTCTTTAATATATATCAATTCTGGATGACTAATCATAGGTTTGCACTATCTATACTGGTTTGTATTTCTTTATACAATGACACAAATGCATCCATGTCTCTCAGCACACATGAGGTGTTGGTATGTCTCAGTTTACAGGTATAAAATCTAGCCCAATTTAGAATATGCCATTACTATGATACAAGTAACTTATTCAAAATATTGCTAGTGAGATTCAAACTCAGTACTATAGCTAATAAACTTGGAAGTGTATAATGTTGTTAGTTGAAATATCTAATTTAGTCAACTATTTAGGCAATTAGTGTCTAAATATATTTTGACATGGCATTATTTTTTTCGACATGTCAAAAGTCTAAATTTGACTAAATGCCTAAATAGTTGACTAAATAAATATT